TCGGATGGCTTTGTTTATGGTGATGGGTTCTCTTTAGAGATAAACATAGAAAAAATCTCGACGTATCTTAAAAGGAAATTTTAGATTTGATCCCGTTGCTAATGAATGGTCGAGTGACATCGTGCCAATGCGCACATGTCGTAGCAGTGTTGGTGTGACTGTGCTGAACGGCTTTCTTTATGCATCAGGCGGTCTTGACGACAGCGGCAAGGCTCTGGACACTGTGGAACGGTAAAGAAACATCCGATCTGCTTTTGGTTGCGTTAGTTTATATTGAGTTGTCCCGAACTTTGTGATATTTCTTTGAACGTCGAATCAGATCTTGCCGCGGCTATTTCGAGATTCACTCATGTGGTCCTGTGGTGAGTGTTTTAACTGATCAGCCCACAGTTGCTTTACTGTCCCTCGCAGTCGCTGTTCCCTAACCAAAACGGTGGAAGAATTTCCTCATTTTCGTCACACTTCGCTAAATGAATCTCACCAACATGGCGTGGTTGGAGTCACACGCAGCATTTGCTCTGAGTTAGGTCGTGATACTACCTTCCATAGCACGGCGTTGGAATGGCCCGATCGCATTGCTCAAGTGACTTCTACCTCGGAGACAAACCTCGTCCAAGGAGGCCATCTGCCTTGGATTTAGACCTACTACGTTCGTTGATTAAAACAATCTATACGAAAAAGCTCGCTAAGCATCACTCTGGACTGTTCCGAGAGCACATATTGCGGAAATCTCACTATTTTGGGAAAATATTGGGAATAGTTTCGTTTTCTCGTATATTGAGCGATACTGAACAAGTAGCACAAATGTTTACGGTTTTTCTCTCGCTGCTGCCATATGGACTGGTTGAACAACGTTTTGAACTGGATATGGAGGAGGTGTCTCAGATTAATCTTTCCCTGAAGCGCTTGGCTAGATTCTCCAGAAAGGGCAGAACCGGTCATGCAATCCTATAAATTCAGTGGGGCGGTGATACTGTGTATGCGGTGGGGTTTACCGCAGGGATTTTCTCCCTATCAGCGCTGTGGTAGCCAGCGAGCCTCATTGTGATTAACTGCAGAGGGAGGATGAAAATCCCCACCATTTGGTCTCACAACCCAGCATTGTCTTACTCCACCACTGCTCAGGGTCACACGTTTTGAAAATGACACTGCTCGAGATCCTAAAGCCTTAGCTGGGGAATTCCACACAGTCTTCTCGTAGCCCTGACTTAGCTCTTATGCCACCTAAACTAATGCTCAGTGGCCATCTTTTGCGTGAAAGATACGTTTTCTAAAGCACCTAAAAATAACCCAGCTGCTTTTCTCTGAACCAAGAAGCTTCTGGAAGCAAGGCAGCCACTCTTTGCTTGGTGGTTAGCAACATGCCGTTGGAGGTGATATATGTTGTAGTAATATAGTAATAATATATTGTCTTGGTAATATACTGTAGATCGAAGTTGCTTCTCATTGGAATCAACTTGTTGTCCAAAAAAGAAGTTAGACAATGTTACGAACTTTCACTGCAGGTATGATCCTCAACAAAAAGAGTGGGTTCGTGTGGCACCCATGGGCACACGACGAGCTGCCCATTCTGTGTCGGTGCTTGACGGATATTTATATGCCATTGGAGGATCTGATGGGCAATCAAACTGAACACTGTGGAAAGGTAAATTGGTGCTCATTTTGTTTTTCTCTGTTTTTTTCTTCTCATCAAATTTTCACAATGGAATCATAGTTGTATGAAAATCTGTCATACTCAGAGGATAAAAAGATATAGTCTTCGCCGTTAATCAATCCCTTTGTTAGGACGCGGCACGCATTCTACTTCCATTCAGAATCGTAGTGGCTTACTGAATGCGATGTGGCCTGTACAATGACTTGCGACTGAGCCGATGATACACAAGTCAGTGTTCTTATATCTCCCAGACGAATCTGGTACCAATTTACCGTCCCCGGAGGGTAGAAGGCTTGGTTGGCCTGGGCGAGTGTCGACCTGGAATCCTGTCTTTTATCTTGTCATACTTAGATGCAAAAAGACTGGCATATCGCTATGTGTGGTGATGTAGAAAACATCACTTTTGATCGAAATAAGCCAACTTTCAGATTTGATCCTCGTACGGGAAGATGGGAGTTTGTTCGTCCGATGTCAACATGTCGAAGCATCTAGGATCTGCAGTGCTCGATGGGCACTTGTATGCAGCAGGTGGAAAGATGAGTCATCCAACCAACTTAGCTCAGTTGAGAAATACAACCCTCTTACTGATGAATGGACCGAAGTGGCTGCAATGAAGGAGAAGCGATTCATTGTAAGTTTCTACAGATGTAAGCAAAATCAACAAGATTTATTTGTAGGTAAAACTTGTCGTTGCCAACGAAAAACTTTATGCTGTGGGTGGACATGGCACTTCTGACCAGGATTCCGTTGAAGTTTTCGATCCTGAAGACAAATAAGTGGGCTATTCACAGTTACCTGAATGACAAGTGAGTCGTCATCACAAGGGATCTTTTTATTTTCACATTCTCTTCACCTTCAATTTTGACTTTCCAGCATAGGTTGATAATGTTCCCCTTACTGTTATGCTTCTAGACGAACTGGAGCAGGTGTTGGTGTCATCCGAATGCCATTACCGTAATAGCAGCGGCAGCTGGAATGGGATTCAGGAGTTGCAACATCTTTTCACATCTCAGACCTGCATTCCTTCTAACCCAC